CGGTGATCACGTTGCGCTCACTGCCGTCACCAGCACCAGCACCGGCAGCTCAATGGTCGACAGTGCAACACTGCAGCAGGATGATCACCAGCAGCACCATCACTCCAGTGATCCATACGCCTGGTGCTCACTGTGCTGTTCAGACCACCTGACGTGTACTTTTGCCATTGATGACTACTCTCACTTTGTCTTCTTCTTTTTCATCTGACGTCATGGCTATCTACGTTTTTTTCGTGCCACTGAGGAAACGGAAGCCAGCACGTTTTTGCGTTTGTCATATCCGCTCAGCTAGTGACGGTTGACGGATGAGGGCTACTGCTGCTGCTGCTGCTGCAGGTCAGCTCGACTAGCTGATGTAAGTTTGCCCCCACTTGTTGCTGTTTGCTGTTTCCATTTTTGTCTATTTTTTATTTACTTTATGTAGTTTGAGGCCAGTTTTTTGTACAAACTTTGTACTACAAAGTGTTTTTAAAACTGCTTTTTACATTTGTGTTTTTGTAACTCACAGCGTTTTTTCTTTTTGTTTTGCCCCAACAGAAGTCTAATGCGGAGGAAGAGCTAGATGAAGCTCGATTTCAAATTGTGGTAAGTGTTGCCTAATTTTGCTTTTTAAATGTTAGCACAATTTGCCTAATTATTGGAGTAGCTTTGTGAGCAACAGGTGGTTTCATTTGCGCAATCGTTATTACTGAGAATGCCATTCTGATTAGTGTTACCAGCTATTTGTTGACTAATGATTAGTTCAATTAGCACCTAAGTGGCACTTTTTGCTGACCACTGGCCACTTGGCACTTTTTAGAGCCTGCCTGTGTTTGCTTTGGCAGGCTAGCCGACAAACTTGGCTTCACCTCAGAGGTGTCTGCTCGACTTTGTTCCCTTTGCAAGGCGATTTCCTAAGCTGCCTCTTGCGTTTAGTCTAATCGGTGTGGTTTTCTCTGTCTGCTGCTGCAGCTTTCTGTTCTTCCATGCTGTCGCTTATCATTAGCTCTCCATCGGTGGCAATCGACAGCGCCAGTGCAGACACAGTGAGTCTGTGTTTGCTTTAGGGGCGAGGTTCAGATGAGTGTTTCGGCTGCTGCTGCTCTTGACGAGAGCACCTTTGTCTGCTAGAATAGTGCTTTCCAAACCTTTGACCGGTGTAGGGAAAAAGAGAGAAAGAGAGGGAAACGCAGAATGAGATCGGTGACGCGCTTGGCGACATCGATGGAATGCAGGCACACAGAAAAAGGTTTTGGTTACTGCGGTAGCATGCCGATTTAATGACGAAGTCAGCCAGTGATGTATGCTCAGGAAACATTTTGATAGACAAGCTGTAGGCAATTTTCAATTTTTGTTGAGCTTATTGGTTTTAGCATTTGATGACTCTACATATCTTTTGGTTTTTGTTTTTTCTCTAGAACTACGCCACTGAGCTTAAAAAATGCCAGCTAGCTCTGGAAGAGGCGCTCTCGGCGAAGAGCGAACTGGAAGTGGAGCTGCAGGAGCTGGACGCCCAGCATGAAACGGCTTTGGCGACGGTGATCAAGATGCGAGATGAGGCCCTGGAGAAGCTGCAGACGGCAGAAATGGTTTTGGTAAGTGTGTGTGTATCCCCTCTGTCCAGCAGCGAGAGAGAGAGGGAGGAGGGTTCGGTCACCTCTAAATCTGTGCTATGCTTCTCTTTCTTTCCCTCTCTCATCAAGCAGGAATCGTCCAGTCAGCATGACCGAGGATCATCTGATGGCGTGACAGTGCAGCAACGTGACAGTGCAACGATTATCGATGCCTCCACCACCAGTACCAGCAACAGCAACACCTCAGCGGTGAATGACAATGCGGAAGGTGGTGGTAGTGGTGGTGTTGGGGGCCACAAAGATGAGCAACTGTCTGCAGCGGCAGCAGCTGATGCAATCGATGCTGTGGCCTCTGTCGGCAGTCTGCACAGTCGTTTGCGGTCGCTCGTCGATGACCTCAGCGGAGAGCAGCCCTTGTCGGCGGTCGTTGATCAGATCGCCGCCCGGCTCGTTAATCAGAAGAACTTGGAGATGCGTTTGGAGTTGCTGACTGGCTCCAATCAGGAGCTGCTCGCCAAGATCAGCTCGGTTCAGGAGGAGGTGGAGAGAAAGCTGAAGCGGCAGGATGAGCTTCTCGAGGAGGTCGAGTTGATGAATGAACAGCTGACTGAAGAGCTGGACTCGCTGAAAATGGGTGCAGGCAAGCAGAAGGCGTCTTTGGCTGCTGCTGCTCGGCCCAAATCAGCTGAACCGTCGGTGGAGTCGACTGAAGAGCTGTTCCGACAGAAGCAGGAGATTGCCACTCTGAAATCGTCAGCCCAAGAGTACCAGCATCAAGTAGAACAGCTAACGGAACAGCTGAAGCACCTTCAAGCGCAAGTAACTGAACAAGCTCAGGTACTTGCCAGCAAGGAAGCGCTGAGCACTGAGCGCCAGGAAGTGTTGAGCAGTCTTGAGAAAGAGCGCGATCGACTTTTGGAGCAGTCACAGGCATCCGAAGCAGAGTTCACTAAAGCTGTAGAAGGGAAGGAAGCCACAATTGCCAAACTTAGCGAGAACTTAACTGAACTTGAGACGCAGATCAGGAAGATTCAGCTTGAACGCGAACAGCAAAAGAAAGAGTTTGATTTTGCTGTTGAACAGCTGAAAACAAGAGAAACTGAGCTCCTGCAGACAAATAAGGGCAAAGATCTAAAGATTGAAGAGCTGGAACACAAGCTCGAGGACGTGCAATCAGCAGCTCAGTCTGAGGCAGCCAGTCTGCCTGAGCATCGCGAAGAACCAGAAGGAGCCGAGCCAGAATCGATTGAGGCCAATCTGAAGGTAGTGAATAAGGAAGTTCAGGCTGAACTTGAATGCCTGATTGCAGAGCGGGACAGTTTGAGGCAATCGTTGACAACGCTTGAAGAGGAGGTCTCCCAGATGAAAACCACTAATGAACAGCTAGAAGAGCAAGCGAGGAAAGTCTTGGAGGAGCAAAGTTCTTTGATGGTAACTATTTGATTTGAGTGCTTTTAATTAACTTATTTTAACAAATCTTTTATTTTTTTCAGAAACGCCTTGAGGAACTTCAGCAGTGCCAAAGTGACCTTGATCGTCTGCAGCCTTTTCATCAGCAGCTTGTTGAGCAGTTTGAAGTTTTATCGGCGGAGCACCAGCTGACAGTGGAAGAGTTAGCCGTGCTGAAGATGGAGGTGGCCAGTCGAGCCTCCACCTCAGAGAAGGACACTGAAGAGCTGGTCCAGCTGAGGGAGGCGGTGAAACGCATGTCAGTGCTGGTGCAGGACAAGGACCAGGAGGTGAGGGAGCTGCGCGAGAAGACCGCCCACCTCGAGGCAGCGGGCGCCATGGCGGAGCTAAGGGAGGGCGAGACGGAGCGCCTGAAGACGGAGCTGGAGCGACTGCGGGCGCACCTGGTGGCGGTGGAGGACAACTACACCGCCGAGCTGATGGCCGCCGAGCAGCGGCTGGAGGAGGCGGGCGGCCAGGTGGCCAGGCTGCAGGCGGACGCGGAGGGGGGCGCCCAGCTGGCCGAACAGCTGAAGACGATGAGGACGGCGCGGGACAAGGCGAGGAATGAGCTCTCCGCCCTGGAGGACAAGGTGCAATCGTACTCGACGAGTATCGCCAATCTGCAGGCGGTCATCGGTCAGCTGGAGCGGGACCACCAGCGGAAGGTGCGCTCCCTCGAGGCGGAGCACCAGGAGCGACTGGAGGGGGAGCGAGCGCAGACGGCCGCCGTGGTACGGAAGTTGCAGGCGCAGGAGGAGCGACTGCGCGAAACGCTGGAGGCCCTGGAGGCTGCCAGCCGACTCAGCGAGACCATTGACGCCAAGGAGTTCGCCATCAGTCAACTGAAGCGAGAAGGTAATGGGTTGTGTTGTGTTGGCCATGTCCTCACAGGTTATTGCTTGCTTTTATTGTTTTTATTTGTTTGTGTTATAAAGTGTCAGACCCAAGAAGAAGAAGAAGATGAAGAATGAAGAATCGCGCGCCGGAATGAGTAATTGAGTATTAAATAATAGGTACTGACAAAAGGTTAAAAACTCAGTACTTATTACTTAACTCGCTTACTTGTCGGCAAATGTCATCGCGAGTGGTTTGGTGAAAGGAGGGGTCTGCTTTAGTATTTTTAATATCCTGTTTAGTTTGCAGTTTATTTATTTAATGATTGAATACCACCACCACTGTCATCATCAGTAACCTTATTCTTGTTTTCTTTTATATTTCCTCCTTCTCTAGTTTCTCTCAAATGCACCGAGATCACCGCTCTCCAGAAGAAGATTGACGATCTAAAGACGAGCTACGAGGGAAAGATCGACAAGCAGATCGTCAAGTCGCTGCTCATCAGCTTCTTTGCCACGACGCACGGCACGCCGGCACGCACCGAGGCTGAACGACTGCTGGCCCGCTTTCTGGACTTTAACCAGCAGGAGATGGAGCGAGCCGGCATCAAGATTGGCAGGGGGGCGGCAAAGTCGGCCAATGACTCCTTCACCTCGATGTTTGTTGAATTTCTCGAGTCCGAGTCGAAGAAGGAGGGACAGGGACTGGGTGCGAGAAAGGACTCTGTCAGTGCGCCCAGTGGCACGGCGGAACTGGCAAAGGATCTGAACAAGCGACTGGCTCAAACTGCTGGCACCACCGGCGCCGGCACCTCGAGGCCTCCAATCACCATCAATCCCTTTGTGTCGCATCCCAGTGGGCCACCGGCGCTGGGCCACCACCGAACTCCGTCTTCTGCCTCCACCGGCTCGTCCACCGGCTCGCTGGAGCACGGTGCCGGGCACAATGCACTGTTTACCGGGGCGGCTGGCACTGCCGCCTCCGGTGCTGCCAACATTGCCCAGATTGTTCGTGATGTCGTCGAGAAGAAACATGAGGACCAGTTCATCTGAAGACACCGATGCTTCAGATTGGTTGTGCTGATTCAGATTCTATTTATTGATTTTACATACTTTACTTCATCTACTAAAGGAGCAATAAAATTGGCATTTCTTGTTGATATTAATTCATCTTCACCATTACACCGGCCTCTGCGAGGACGATGCTGCCCGTCATGTTGACTGCATCATCAGACAGCAGAAAGACTGCCACATTGGCGATCTCCTCTGCTTTACCAACTCTGCCCAGAGCAGTGAAGGCTTTCAGTGCTGCCTCATTCTCTACAAAGTAGTTTTCAGTGGCAAAGAAACGTCCATTGCGCGTCGCAGTCGGCCCGGGATTGACCGAGTTGACGCGAATGCCCTTGCCTGCCAGTAGACCAGCACTCGTTTTGGTCAGCATATCTAGTAAAAGTAATTTAGTTAACGTTTATGAGTATTTTAAAGAATGAGTACTTGCCCAAGGCAGCCTTAGAGGTGCTGTAAACGAGCATCCACTTTTTGGAATTGATACAAGTCAGTGTTTACTGGTGAACTGGTGTTTGAGCTGATTGTCATGCTTACCGGGAGAACACTGGCGCAACTGCTAATGTTGACAATGGCTCCCTTGCTCTTTTCCAGAAATGGGCACGCCAGTTGAGTCAGCTGCAGAGGGGCTCTGACGTTTAGGGCCATCACCTTATCGTAAACTTCCATCAATTTTGGCGATTCAAAGTTTTCATCGTGCGACGGGGCTCCGGCATTGTTGACCAGGTAGTCCAGACGGCCGAAACGGGTGATTGTTTCAGTTACCAGTTTTGGGACAAACTGTGAATCAAGAAGATCACCAACAAGCTGCAGTGGTGCCTTCCCAGAGATAGACTCTATTTGTTTGGCAACCTCTTCTAGGGCCTTCTCGTCCCTTCCAGTGATGGTCAGCTGAGCGTTGTACTGCGCCAGCTGAAGAGCAATGGCGGCTCCAATTCCACTAGAGCTACCAGAAATCAATGCAACCTGTTGATTTGATTTTTAGTATTTTGTGAATAGTAAAATCATGACCAGTTTCACTTACTTTACCCGAAAAATTGTACTTGCCAGGACGAGACATTTTGTTGGTGGTAAATTCGCAACAAAAACTGAAAAATTGTGCGCATTATATGCAGTCCTTTATCGTGCAATACTCTCCAATGTTATCAGGTTGAAACCTTATGCTCATGGCTATCATCTTTTTTCAAGTTTAGTCACTTTTACCGATAAACTCGGCTTTCAAAATAATGATAATTAAAGTAAAACTTAAAATGGCAATTTTTACTGTACTTATCACAAAAAAATTAATTTAAAAAACATAATGATAAATTTTGGTAAAATTTTCAGAGCGAGTCATTTTGGAAACGAAGAGGACGCTAATGTGACTATTTTAAAATTTTTGTTGAGTATAATTTTGTATTTTCTTTTCTACACGTTTAGTAGAGACCCTTGCCGTAGCCGAGGCCAGCATTGAGACCCAGACCCAGCTGAGGGCCAGCCAGACCGAGGCCCTTGCCGAGAAGGGGGGCACCGACGAGAGGACCAGCGGCCAGACCGAGGGGAGCCGCGGAGACGTGCTGAGTGGCCACCGAGTAGGCGGATGGAATGCTGCCCAGAAGGGGCGCACCCTTGCCGTAGGTCAGACCGGCGTCGTAGCTGGGGCCAGCGGCGAGCAGGGGCGCGGCGGCCAGGGCGACAGGAGCGACAGGGGCGACGAGGGCGGCAGGCACCACGGGGGCGGCGCCGTTGAGGGTGGTGGCAGCAGCTGGCTGGGCGGGGTCCACACCGGGCTCATTCGTAGAGACCTGACAATGGAATAACACAATGTGGTGAGCAGCTGTGTAGCACACAAACACTAGAACACTTACCGAGGCACGGAAACCGAGGGCATCGGCGACGTAGTTCACAGTGCGCACTCGGCCATCAGCATCTCGAAGGCCGTATGAGCCAATCTGAACACTATTTTTTGGTCACAAAATAAGGTCAGAAGTGTTCAACAATACCGGCAGTTGCAGTTGAAGAAGCACTTACCCTGGACCGCCCTTCTCCTTGCGGAAGGAGCCACCGGTGGCGTGGTCCTCGTTGTAGCCAAAAGCGTAGTTACCCAGACCGTCGTCTGATCGGGAAACGTCTGATCGGCCAGTGTTCACAATACCGGGAACAGCGGCGGCAGACGCGACCACAGCGAGGAGGATGAAAAACTTCATTTTGGAGTTTTTGTTTGACTTTTTTTTACTACTGATTTGTAACTATTAACTGATTGTGTCTGGTTGTGAATGATCTACTAGTGCCACACGACGAGCTTTTATATGTTCAGAAAAAGTCTTTAAAGCCATCTGCTCAAGTGCTTCGGTGTGAAGTAGTGAAAAAGAAAGAAAAGGAGAAAGTGGTCTAAATGTATGTGAGCGTTTCAAACACTTTTCTCGCTACAAAGGAGCAGTTAACTTGTTGTTCCCCGACGCTTTCTCTTCTCTTTAATTTCAATGTCCAGTTTGATCAATAGCTGCCACTTTCTTTTACTGTCTGCCTAGCTGTCTGTGTGTGTGTGTTCATGTAATCCTCAACACTGATCAGCACTCACACAGCATAATCAGTCAAGGCTAGCGCTAAAAGTCGAGCAGGTTTGCACTCGAACGAGTTCACTAATATTCACTCATATTTGGAGTACAGTCTGTGTTGACTGATTGTGTGGTTGTGTGTCTGAGAGAGTTGTTGCGTCAAATATTATTAATTTCTGGATAAACATTAACAGTGCAAGTCAGAACATTTTTTATCGGGTAGTTTTAGTTTAATTTTTAATAAATTAAAATTAATTAAAACTGTAATTGTAATTATAAAAAGTCAAACAAACATCTGCGCCATTTTGTAAATTACAGTGTTGCCTTTTCTCTCAATTGCCTACACAAGCCACGCCCGTTAGACTATTGTACATTGTCTTGGCTGCCTGTTCATTTTATTATGGAAATCATTTTGAATTTTATGGCGCCATTGAGAGCCTGTCCATTTTGGCTGATGAAATCCAACAAGACGGTGAGATCATCGACAACTTCCCTATATTGGCAATACTATTGCTGGTGTTTTTCAAGTAAGTTTAGTAGAACAACAAAATTACAAATTAGAACAACAAGTTCATTACATTTTATAATTAAGTTTTTCATCTAAAATTATTTTAAGCGTTTTTTGGTATTTGTTTTTAGAAATAAGCTGAAAATTGACAAACATAAATCTAAAACAGTCCTTCAATAACACCAGTTTCCGGGTCAATGTCAATGTCGTAGAACGCTGGTCGAGTGGCCAGTCCGGGCATCGTTTGAACCTAGAAATAATGTGTTAGATTCAAATTCACAATTGTTATTCAGCTCAGTCTTACCTCTCCACACAGTGGTGTCAAAAATCCTGCTCCGACAAAAACCTTAATGTCTTTTATTGGCAAGACATAACCGGATGGTGCTCCTGCAAAGATGAAACTTTAGTTAAACAGGCGGTATTAAAGTTAAACTTGCCTTTTAAGCTGGGATCATGCGAAATGGAGAGTTGCGTCTTTGCAATGCAGACAGGTAAGTTGCCATAGTTCATTTTTTCGTACAGCTTTGTACAACAAGTGTTAGTCTAAAAAGTTTAGCTGAGAGTTTTAATAAAAACTTACCTGAATCTTTTTCTCCGCCAGCTCCGAGTACTCCACCGATCCAGCTCTGTAAATATTCTTTGCCACCTTTTCAATCTTCTTCTTGATTGAATCAGCGTTGTCGTAGAGCAGAGTCAGCTGGCCAGGACTGGCCTCTTTGGTGGCCCTCTCAACAGCCTTTGCCAGGTCGACCACTCCGGCACCGCCAAGCTCATAGCCACGAGTGATGACGGCGTCAAAAGCGCCAAATTTGAGCGATTCACTCTTCACTAGGTCCAGCTCGGCGTCGGTGTCAGTGGAAAAGCGGTTAATGGCCACGACAACTGGCAGTTTGAAGTGGGTGCTGATGTTCTCTATTTGAGTCTTTAGATTGACCAGTCCTAGAAAGGTGTTCAAGCAAAACACATGAAGTTATAGCACCTTAATGAGAGTACACCTGTTCGACATCTACTACCACTACCTTTACTGAGCAGCTCAACGTTCTCCTCTCTGTACTCTTTAGCGAGCACGGCGCCCGGAGTGACCGGTGGTCCGCCGCCGTGGCACTTGAGCGCCCGAACTGTGGCCACAATGACGGCAGCGTCCGGCTTCAAGCCAGTAGCGCGACACTTGATGTTGATTGCCTTCTCCAGGCCAATATCGGCGCCGAAGCCGCCCTCAGTGAGGACGATGCCCTCTCTGCCCACCAGATCAAGGGCAATCTTGTCGGCGATGGCCGAGCTGCTGCCGTGGGCAATGTTCGCAAAGGGGCCACAGTGGACGAAGATGGGCGTGTGCTCCAGCGTCTGAATGAGCGTCGGTTTAATGGCGTCCTTGAGAAGGGCGGTCACTGCACCGGTCAGGCCGAGGTCATCGCAGGTGACCGGCCGAGCCGGCGAGTGCTTGCTGAAGGCGACGACAATGCTGCCAATTCGGCGCTTGGCATCGGCCAGGCTGTTGGCCAGCGCGAGGATGGCCATCAGCTCCGAGGCGACAGAGATGTCAAAACCGGTGGAGCGAGTGAGGCCCTTCTCTGAGGGCGCCTCGCCGATGGTGATCTGGCGCAGGTACCGGTCGTTCATGTCCACCACTCGGTGCCAGTTGATGGTGGCCGGGTCAATGTCCAGTCGGGCAAAGTCCTTCTTCTGCTCGGCGCTCAGCGACTCAGGGTCGGCCTCCGCTGAGAGGCCCAGCTTGACGAGACGACGCTTCTGAATGGTGGTGAACTTTCGTGGCTTACCAGGCGCCTTTGGAACGAGGCGGTTGTAGAGGGCAGCGTCTGACTGGGTAGACTCGTGGAAGACGCGAGCGTCGATGGCGGCGGCAATGAGGTTGTTGGCTGCTGAGATGGCGTGAATGTCCCCAGTTAGATGCAGGTTGAACTCGTCCATGGGGATGACCTGTGTGAGGAGGAAGAAAAAGGCTTAGTAAACGATGTTTTGATTAGTTCAAAAGTGTGTGATTGAACACTCAAACCTGACTGTAACCGCCACCAGCGGCGCCGCCTTTGATGCCAAAAGTTGGCCCCTGGCTGGGCTGGCGAATGCAGGCAATGGAGGGCTTCTTGAGGTGGGCGCCAAAAGCCTGCGCCAGGCCGATGACCACAGTTGACTTTCCTTCACCTTTTTATTATGAAAAGAAATAGTGAGAAAGTGTTGTTATGCTTGAGAAAGAAAAAACGTACCTAATGGAGTTGGGGTAATACCGCAAACGTAGACGTACTTGCCAAAGTTGTCAGTCGATTTTGGAATCGGTCGACTGATCTTGGCCTTGTATCGACCATATGGCTCGTACTCATCCTCGTTCAAGCCAATCTCACGGGCGACTTGAGAGATCGGTTTCGGCGTTACCTCAGAGGCGATAGCAATGTCTCTGTCAAAGTGGTGAAATGGGCAATAATGTTCAATGTTTTTCTTCCACCATGAAAGGTCACTTACGAGGGCACGGGCGACTTTGTCTTCAGTGGGGTTGTTTCAATGTTCCACGGCATAATGGAAAGCTGGTGGTGATTAACAGCAACTGATGGACTGATGATGCAAGAGCGAAGGAACCGTTTGCTGGCCTGGTGAGAATGCCAATGAGCGAGGCTTTTGAGGAGGGCCAGCATTTGAGGTGGATGTTGTAGCGGGGAGATCGGCTTTCCATCTCGTGGCAAACACGAGGCACCCACAGTAGTACGAACTCGGGTAGTTTTCCATGCTGAAGAGAACGAAATGTTCGTCCTTTTCTGTGTTGTTGCTGATAGCCGTAACTTTTGATTTAGGGACTCTCTCCTCTTATTTGGATTTTAGAAGGTTGCTTATCATACACACACCGCTTTTTGCAGAGTACACTACATTGGAAAATGTCCGTTTTTTCTGCTGCAAGCACATGTAACAGACTGAAAGAGAGGCTGTGATTAGTTGGTAGACGATTAGATAACTTTTCTACTTTCTGATGTACCTTGTCCTAAACACAATTGCTTGTTTAACTAATGGCACTACCAGTAAACAAAATAGTGAGAATTCAAGTTTTCACTTTTGAACTCGAGAATTCTCTGGTTCGGGAGAAACGATGAGAATGTTTGGCAGTTAATCTTTGGCCCTTAGTTTCCCAGCTAGCCTGCTAGTTGAAAGCACACAGATGAGCTGGCAGAAAGCCCCAGAAGAGCACAGTTGCACTTTGACTCACCTGCAGGGCAGTTCAGGTTTACACCGTACAGAAGCACGCAGCTGTGCACAGCCAGGGTCAACTGTTTAGTCACCAGGGACAGGGAAGCAGCAGCAGCAACGTTAGCAACGAGCTAGCAACGTTCATCGTTGCTTTTCGCGAGGGGTATAAGAATCAGTGCGACCAATGCCCACAGCCATCAGTCGCAGTTTGAGTGCGAGCCCCTTCACTTCGCCACCTTTTTACCCTTCCCCATCCCATCTTTTGACCGATTTCGACAATGAAGTTTTTACTCCTCGCCTTTCCTCTACTTGCACTGGCCCTCAGCCTTTCAGGCCTCTGCAATGCCCAAAGTGCGCCCTTTTCCAGTCAAAACACTACCCCCACCACCTCCACCACTGGTGATTGCACCGG